ACTTTCCTGGGTTCTAGTCAAGAACAGACTTGGAGAGGAACTGAGGAATGGCTGAGGTTCCACACATCATGTATCATTAGTGTTGCTACTCGCTATCTTCTTACCTGTTGTGTCATCGACCAGGAAATGATGGTAAACTAGCATGGCTAACTGCTAATTTGCTAAGGGTCCTGCATACCCTCACTAAAATAAAACAGTCAGAATCATCTCTATTTAAATCTTTTCTTCATAAAATGAATTTAAAGACAGTTTCTGACAGATTGAATCAGTGAATACGAGGTTCTGACTCTTAAAAAGTTAGTTTTTCTTTAAGAAGTAAAGCAGATCAGATCCATGTTCTTTAGCATCAGGCCATCAGAGCTCATTGGTTCCCTCTAACAGAACTGGACCCACCTGCTCCCAGCCAGCATGCAGGGCGGCTGGGTGGGAGTTTTTACCTCGGTGGGGCCGTGCAGAGGCAGCGGGTCGATGCTGTACTCTTCCTGGATGGGATCCATGGTGTTGAACTCCACGTTGAAGAGGAAGAAGATGAATCCGTAGAGAGCTGGGCCCAGGCCGTTACAGAGACCTCTGATGCCGGTGATCATCCCCTGGACGACTCCTGCAGACAGAACCAAGCCGAGTTCGTTAATCCGCACCCTGGATGATCGCTGCGCCCGCAGACCCCATGGAGCGGCTCCTCCCGCTCACCTTGTTTATCAGAATCAGCTGACTGTGACACCAGAGCGGAGACGGCGGGGAAGGTGATGGAGGACATCGCTGCAACGGCTCCGGCGGCCCACATCATCCTGGGACAGAAAGACGGCAGGATGAGCGGCTGGCATCTTTCTAAAAGCTCCGCCCACAGCGCCGCCCTCAACCTTTAGCTAGATAATCATGGTGGAACTTAGACCGAGGTGGTCGCCGCCAGTGTGGTTTCTGACAGCCATCTTAGATCTAGTTTTAGTCTTCAGGACGAAAACTATTATTAGTTTTAGTCTCATTTTAGTCATTGCAACATAAAACCAACTAAAACCTTTTTAAGTTTTAGATGGTTTCATGTTGCAAAAAAAATAAACCTTTACAATTTGTAATACCAACCAGATTATTTCCCAGACTGACAGCTCTATCCTAGACGCTACAATCGCTGGGTATAGAATGCTGCTGTGCAGATCATCATTGCTGCTGGGCAGAAAACTTTGATTTATAGAATTAAAATAAACCTTTATATGAATTAATGCCCTATTTTATAAAAAAGTTTCTCCCAAAAGCTGTGAAAATAGCAGATCTAGTTCAACACATCCTATTGGTTAATATAGCAGATCTAGTTCAACACATCCTATTGGTTAATATAGCAGATCTAGTTCAACACATCCTATTGGTTAATATAGCAGACAGACAAGCTGACAGAATGTCCAATAAGGAATGATTTTATCATCCAAGGTTTCCATCCCAAAGCAAACACTTCCTGATCTGCTATGAATTCTACATTAAACACAGATCTATAAAATCTGCATTAGTCAAAAAATGAATAATTCAGCCTCACCATGGTTCTGATCCGAAGCCGTACCAGGCCAGCTGGAGGATCTGGAAACCCAGACCCAGCAGGACCGTGTTCTTGTTTCCCAGGTATCTCATCAGCAGGGTGAGGAAGAGAGTCTGAGGGGGAAAAGGAGGCGTGGTTACGGTTTAACCTCAACAAAATACGCAGGAAGTGACGCAGCAGGGGGGTCGGTTACCTGGGCAACGATGGACAGGATGCCAACGACCCCGATGAACACGGCGATGGTCGTGGAGGAGAAGTTTATCACCTGGAGGGAAACAGATCCACGAGGAGTTTTAAAACCTTTTTTAATGTATCTCTACAGCATGACGCTGCCTCTGCCGTGCTTCACCATTGGAATGGAATTACAGCTTTTTATATAAGATCCAGGAAAATTGACTGATGTTTGATAAAAAGATGAAGCTCCTAAACATTTTAGTTTTAGATGTAAACATACATTTCAAACTATATCAAATGAAAACTTTTCCAAAGGAAAGATCTTTCGTCACCTGTCTCAGGTAGAGGAAGAAGCTGGAGTACTGGCCGGCCTCCGGCAGGTAGGACAGGAAGACGGTGATGCAGATCAGCAGGACTGTGGAGTCCTGACCCACCTTCCTCAGAGACTGAATAAGAGACAGACAGAGAGAGGGACAGAAATACACCAGCGGCGCCGTCAGACCATCAGTTAGCCTCCAGTTAGCGTCTGGAACTCAAAGGGTTGGACTAAAGCACTGAACTGCTCTGATTTAAGGTGGAACTGCAGAGTTACAGAGCCCTTAGCATTTAGCAGATATTAGAAATTAATTATTTAAGAGGAGTTACTGCCTCGAGGAACATTGGTGCCTTCGGCCACGTCTTCACTCAACATACTGCGTCCAAAAACAGACAGGAGGTTAAAATCATGCAGCTACAGGGTGAAACAAAGCTTCAGCTCTCATTCAGCCACTAACTGATCTAACACAGCGCTCAGAGGTTCTGGTTACTGACAGCGAAAGGGTCGGCCTGCTCCCAGGTGAAAGGCGTCCCCCACGTATTCAGCCTCATCTTGTCCGGCAGCGACTCGGGGACGGCCAGCAGGATGAAGCAGATGTCGGCGTACCAGGCCGACAGGTACGCCCCGATGGCCGGACTCGTCACCAGGCTGGCTGCAAACGTGGCCGAGACCTGGAGGGACCAGAGCCGAGGTTGGCGACGTTCAAAGACCCCGAGAAACGGCTAGAACCAGTCAGAACCAGGTCTTACCAGACCGTAGGCCGTGCTCCTCTCTCGCTCGTCCGTCACATCAGCGACGTAGGCGAAGATCACGGAGAAGGTGACGGAGAAAGCTCCAGACATGGAGATCATGGCGAAGTACCACCTGAAGCAGGAACAGAACAGAAGGAAGAACAAACCTTCAGGGATTTTCTATTTTAAACACCCAGCTCACACACAGCCTTTTATTTCTATCCAAGCTCTATAGCCGCCGGTTCCACCTCAATATGGCCGACCTGAACGTACGGAGCGAGTCCCTTCCTTCTGTTGGGGCCCCCTAGGGATGCTGCAGCGTAGTAACAGCAGGCGTAGTTGAAATTAACTAATTAAATTACCCAGTTTGAGAGTTAATTATTAACTTTTTGATAACAAATTTAAAATAATTGGACTTTAAAGGCGGTAGTTTTAATGATTTAAAGTAGACAGATTTTTCTAAAGGTTCATTTTTAGGCTGTAACTGGCCTTTATTTAGTTATTTTATAAAGTAGGCAGACAGGAAGTGGCATCAGAGAGATGGCGGGGACCTGCAGCACAGGGTCACCAGGTTAGGACACCACCCTGTGACGTGGGTGGCACAATTAACCCCTGCACCACCTCCTGTTTGTTTAAATGCTACAAAGATTGGAGGCGGGTTAGAAACTGAGCAAAATAAACAGAAGGAGTCTTCAGAGGAGGCAGCAGCTCCTGCATCGCTGCTGTCTCCATCTGCCTCCCTTCATTCATATTAATACTTTCTTGATCTCATATTGGAGAAATGAACTCTCTGCATCCCTTTCAGGAGCAGTGGGCTGCCATTGTGCAGCGCCCAGGGAGCAGTGTGGGGTTAAGGGTCTTTGCACAGGGACTGGGCAGTCTGTGGGAGTCAGACCCAGAACCTCTGGATTCAAAGCTCTATGCCCTAACCAGGGATAACGTTAACGTTAATTTATTTTGTTCCATTATTGTTCCTTCTGCATTATTTAACGTTTTAATAAAAAAATGCTGTTTTCCTTCGATTTTTCAAATCCATTTTTTTATTTTTATTTTTTCATGTCATTTTTAAAAATGTTTAAATCTTTGATATTTTTTTCAGACTGAGTTTTAGGAAATGCATTTTTAAAGATGGCATTTTACGGCCACATTTTCTTCACTTCCAGCCCAATCCAGACGCTCGTTCTTGACCAATAGAAAGGGTTCTTGGCTCCTGTGGAGGAAAGCCCCGCCCCCCAGAGGAGCAGAAGATCAGACAGACTAAGCTCTGCCATTTAACAGAAATTCCCAGCTTATTTTTATTTTTTTATTAAGATCTGAGGTCAGAGGAGGACAAATGGAACATCTAAAAAATGACTTTCATAGAGATTTTAGATGAACAAAACCGTTATTCTACTTGTAGAAAACAAACGGTTGTTGTTGACACAAAGTTAAAGTGGTATAGCTCAATATGGCTAACTGACCGAGCTAAAAGAGGCTAACCTGTTAGCTACTGAGCGCAGCTAGACACATCTTTATTTAATGGTCTAAAAGTTACTTTGTTCACCAGAAACAGTTTTTTTTCCCAGTTTTGTTATCGATCAGGTAAAACTTCTTTGGTCGTTAGACACGCTAACGCTACAGATGTTCCAGACTCGACACACGGACTCTGCATGATGTTATCATTGTCTGGGCAACCACAATGTTTCACATCCTGTGGCAACTTTCAGCCAATCAAGTAGCGTAACGTTACCGGCAGGAAGCAGATGTGGTTCCTACAGCGGCGGGACGCGTGAGGTCTGGCGCTCCGAATGAGAGCTGCAGAGTTTAATGGGATCATAATCCTGACGAACTGATGAATAGAGGATATTTGGAGGTGGACTTTGACTCAAAAATGTGTTTTTAAACGAGAAACATTTTTCCATCTTATAAAGTAAATAATACAGAAGCTACAGAAGCATCAAAGCAGCTTGACCGCTGTTTGATCCAGCATATAGACGCCCATGAGGCCTTCGGCGTGAACGCAGCGTCAGACCTCACGCTGTCCATCCCCCACCCAGCAGCTAAGACAGTAAAGGCATGACGTCCTACCAGGGGCTGAGCCTCATCAGAGGGATCGGAGCGCAGGTGAAGAAGACTGTGATGAGGAGGAAAGACCTCCGACCCCAGACATCGGACAGCGCCCCGATGAGAGGAGCAGACATGAAGGACAGCAGGCCCTGCACAGGAGAAGCCTCGTTCAGTGAGGGAGAAGCAGAGGACCAACAGAAAGCTGCTGAGGATCCGCCTCCTGCTCTTACCTTCACCCCCTGGATCAGCCCGTTCATCAGGAACGTGTGCTGGGGAAACGTTTCATGTAAAACCTGCAAAAAACACAGAGAATATCAAACATAAACAGTAGATATCCAGAGGAAACCTGCAGGGGGATGAAGCGTCTCCTCACGGTGAGCATAGGCGTGGTGAGCAGGCCCCAGGCGAAGAACTCCAGGAAAATCACCACCACGGCGTGGTAGACGCTGGGCCGGCCGATGCCCTGCTGCGGCTGCAAAATACAACAAACACAGAAACACATTTGATTTTCTCCTGGTTTCTCAGGCAGTGACAGTTTGACAGGAAGCTAAAGAGGAACTCCAGGAAGGTCCGCAGGATGAAGCTGAAAACATCAGGCAGCAACAAGCCTGGAACGAAGACGGAAACGATGCAGTTTGACCCATAAGGACCGAGACCTGTACCGCTTTCACTGCAGAACCGCTGACACGGTTCCACCGACGCCGCGAGAACACGAACCAGGTGGAAAAGCTAAGAGGATGAAAGAGGACTGAAACCAGCAGGGGGCGCCAACCACCTGTTCCTCTTCCAGTGAACAATAATCCAGAACCCGTCAATAAAACCAGGTGACTTCTAGACAGCAATTCTTAAAATAAGCAGATCTATACGGGTTTGGATCTGGCGGCTGCGTTCTCTGACGGCCAGATTGGTCGGCCGATGGCGTCGTAACGCGGCGCCGAGGCTTGTTCGGAAGACTCCACGTCACGCGGCCGACAAATGCGTCCTTCTTTCTGGCTGTTTTGAAGGACAGTCCGCTGTATCCTCCACAGCTTTAGGAATCCCAGGATTCATTGCAAATCAAAGCAAGCCGGTTGCTTCGCGCTCAGAGGAAAAAGGGAAATGGCGCCAAACAGTGGTGAATATTGGAAGTGCAGTTTAATATAATCCAAGCCTGTGAATAGTTCCGTCTGAAATGAATGGAAACAGTTGTTTTAATGGTTATGTGATTTAGGCCTAGACTTAATCCCCATTTCCACTACCCTTTGAAACCCTGCCGAGATCGGTCCGAGCACGGTAACTCAGATAACTGATGAGCGCACGCACAACTGAACCAAACCAAACCAGACACGACTGAACCGCGCTACCATGATACTAGTTCATCAGTGGGGCTCGGCGCGTTCAGTTCCGGCTCGGTTCTCTGATAACAAAGAGCGCGTGACCAGACCGCGTCATCTCCTACCATCAGCCTCCTTAATCAGGAATTTTCAGACATTCATAATAATCCTAGCTTCCCTACCGTGTCGCATGATTTCCAGTGATGATTCTGCTCAGCAGTGTGATGAACCTCAACGTCTGTCGTCGTTTCCTGCGCCTGGAAGCCCTGATTAGACTATCGTTTATCGTATCCGCTTCCTAAAATCCGACTCTGTCAAGCTAACTCACCAAAGGCTGCCTTCTTCGCCTGACTCTACGCAAACTTCCTGAGTTCTACGGGCGCCGCCATGTTGGTTTGCATGATTCCCTCGAGAGAGCAGTAGTACGGTAGATCGCAACTAGGAGGAGGGGAACCGTGCTAGCTTGCTAGCACGGGGCGTAAACATTCGTAAGGAACAGAGCTCGGCACGGATCGGTTTTCAGAGCCTAGCGTAAACGGCGCTTTAGACAACTTTTATTGTCATTTTGTAGACAGAGCGTGTTCAGAAAACAAAATTTCATTCAGCACAGCTTTCCAGACAGTAAATGAAAATTTTCCATTTCATAAGGCGCAGCAGTTGTTAAATGTAAAGAGTGGGAGAAAAAAAAACAACAACAAATAAAACATGGTGCGATATCTAAGCTCAGATTCCAACATCTCTGCAGTCTGAGGACCATAAATCTGATATCTGAGACGACGGTACTGCCGCTGAAGCTCCTCGGAAATGTTATTAGCACCTAGGATAGTAGTGAGAAGTTTGCTATCTGTTCTTTTCCCGCTTTGTGTGTCAACTGTTAGGTTGCTCGGCCGGAGAAGGCTGGACCTGTTTGAATCCATAGCCAAACCTTTCCATCCTTCTGATTTTCAAAGACCTTCAAGGACCCAGTCCAGGTAGACCGGGCCCTTGGAGGACGCAGCCGCTGCATTAGAACCCAGCCATAAACAGATATGACGCCATCTGCTGGCAAACCTGCAGAACTACCAAAAAACCGGATGGTGGAAATGGAGGCAGCTACTAAATAGAGCCTGACTATCCTGCAAGCAGCAGCTCAGCTGATCCAGAGGAACTCTATGTTCTACAGAATCCTCCCCAGGACGTCCAATCAGAACCTGAGGCGGGTAAATCCAGCTTCAGAAAGTAAAACCACACCTTAATCCAGCTCATTTAACCAGATTATTTTAATCTTCATCTCAGAGTCGTTGCTGATGAGCTCATATTAGAGCGGAACATTAGCGCCTCTCTAATCATCTAACCAAGTCTCACCATCTTAGATCCAGCTGTAATGTACTTTGATCTTGTTCTGAGATTAATTTAAATAATCCAGAGCAGATTCTGTTAGATTATTAATCTTCTGTGAAAGGAGTCTACTCAGAATAAGTGTTGTTACTGTAAATATGCACCTAATTTACTAAAAAACTGAGGAAAGATAAAACGTAAAGCTCAAAAATAAATAACATGCCAGCCGGATGAGGTTATCTTTTATAAAACTGCAAAAAGCAGAAACATAACCGAGTCCAATCTCTTCAAATAAATGTATTTTTCTTATACGTGATTCTTGCAGGTAAGTAAGACTTCTTGCCTTTGGAATCAGATGATTGATGTTTTAAAAACAACTCCACAGTTTTATTTCCAGTAGTTTTTTGGAGGAGGTGTATAGCAGTTTTACATCATTCTTTTCAGCGCGGTGAATCAATGTGAAAAGTCACATATTGTGGTCTCACCACAGTGGTGAGCTCTTATGGGTCAGACAGCATCTAAGGTTCAACCCTGAGCTTTAAAAAGATGCCGACCTGAAGTTCCTCTTTAACAGTTTGGCTCCGTTTCATCGCAGCTCGCTGCTTCCAAAGAATCCACCAGAATCCATCCGTTCCTCCCAGGCGCCACTTTTCTTTTGGCTTCCATTTAATCAAATCTACTCATACATAAAATGAAAGGTTTGAACATGGAGGGCTCAGTCTACACAGATCTACTAACTCCAGTGTTTGTCATCGTTTCTCCACCTACCTGGTAGCCATCTTACTTAGAGATTTATGTGAGCCATCGGCACATGTTGAGGCCACCATTAACCCAACAAAAGCCCCCAGATAAAGACGACAACTGGAACAGAAACGAGTCTTCTTGGCACTCATACGAGCCAAAGATTTTGCATCCCTGTAAACAAAATGAGACGTTATGATCCGTCCTCAAACAAACCAGCAGAACCTGGAGCTCATACCTGCTTCTAAATGTTCAGGAACATGTCACTCTATTTCACTAATACTGCCAGAAACTAAAGGAATGAACAAACTTGGAATGATGGTTTTAATAAAGATAAATGTTCTTTTGGTATCTTTGATTAATCACAGAAAAGATCAAGCTATCTTAGAAACCATCTTCCTGATGAAGAGGAGAACTAGAAGCTGACAGACACGAAGGTTTTAGCCGTTTTCCATCTTTAGTTGAGCTATTAGCACAGATTCACAGTGCTGCATTAATTAGGTCTTCCTTGGCTGCAGGCGTTGAGGTGTGGCAGAGGTGACGTCTGACCCACTTAGCGTCTGATTCTTCATATAAACAACTGTGGATCCACCTTTCTTATACCTCATCCAAAACACTCAGGTTATCCTGATCTATCTCTATAGTTCTGCTGCTATAGGCTTAGACTGCTGGAGGACATAGGGACCCCTTTTTCATCATTCTGCTTCATT